TTTGTCATATGTGTAATTTAGAACAACATGTAGAAAGGATAGAACGTGGTATAGCATATTTACTCGGTGCAACTTCAACAGTAGATATGAGACATATATTATCAGAAAATCTTATTGCGTTTGATCATTTATTATACGATCGAATGACACAAACTATCGTTAGACATGTACCAGCACCCGAAACTATTTTTAAACATGACATGCCTTCTCCTTTACAATTCATAAAGTTATTAAGCGATGGGGAAAAGAGAATATTAGATCTTAATTTAGCAAAAGAAAAGTTAGTTAAAGGGAATAGACAACTTGGATTAGCTTTAGCAGAAGATGAAATTGATTACCTTGTTGATGCTTTTGTCGGCAATTCTGAGCATAGTTTAGGCAGAAACCCGACAGATGTTGAATTATTCATGTTTGCTCAAGTTAATTCGGAACATTGTCGTCATAAAATATTTCGAGCTGATTGGACAATTGATAACGAAAAAAGATCACATTCTTTATTTGAGATGATTAGAAATACTCATAAATTAAACCCTCAACGCACGATTTCAGCTTATTCTGATAATGCTGCCGTGTTACAGGGTTTTAAAGCCACGAGATTTTCTCCTGATGATAAAAATTTTGAATATAGTTTATTTGAAGAAGATGTTCATATTGTTGTCAAAGTTGAGACTCATAATCATCCAACCGCCGTTTCGCCCTTTCCTGGTGCTGCAACGGGTTCTGGTGGTGAAATTCGTGATGAAGGGTCAGTCGGTCAAGGTTCTAAACCAAAAGCAGGTTTGACGGGATTTAGTGTTTCAAATATGTTAATTCCTGGTTTTATTCAACCTTGGGAAACCGATTTTGGAAAACCTTCTCATGTTGCATCCTCATTTGATATCATGATTGAAGCACCTTTAGGTGGTGCTGCTTTTAATAATGAATTCGGTCGACCTAATATCACGGGATATTTTCGTACTTTTGCTCAAGAAGTTCCTACAAGTAATGGAACAAATGAAATTCGAGGTTATCATAAGCCTATAATGATCGCTGGTGGATTAGGTTCAATTAGACCAAATCATGTATTCAAAAAAAATATTATTCCGGGAGCCCATTTATTCGTATTAGGTGGTCCTGCTATGTTGATTGGACTTGGTGGTGGTGCTGCTTCTTCCATGACAAGTGGCGCTAGCGATGCTTGTTTAGATTTCGCGAGTGTTCAACGTGACAATCCAGAAATGCAACGTAGGTGTCAACAAGTTATTGATGCTTGTACAGCATTAGGTGACAATAATCCTATTCAATCAATTCATGATGTCGGTGCCGGTGGATTATCTAATGCATTTCCTGAAATTGTAAATGATAGTGGTTTAGGTTGCGTAATTCAATTACGTGCGATTCCAAATGATGATCCTGGAATGTCACCTATGGAAATTTGGTGTAATGAAGCACAAGAGCGATATGTTTTGGCCGTGGGACCCGACAATATTCAACTATTCGAAACAATTTGTAAACGTGAAAGATGTCTTTTCGCAGATGTTGGTATCGCTACGGAAAAGCAAGATCTAATCTTGCAAGATAGTTTGTTAAAAACTACCCCAATAAATCTTCCAATGTCAATTTTATTCGGAAAGCCACCAAAGATGTCACGTAAATCAACTACCCTGAAACCACCGCGTGTGCCTTTCGATACATCTTTGAGGAGTTATTTGACCGATATTAAAGATCAAAGTGAGATTCTTAAAGATGCAATACATCGCGTTCTTCGGCTTCCAACCGTGGCCTCTAAATCTTTTCTCATCACCATCGGTGATAGAACCATTACTGGATTGGTTGCCCGTGATCAAATGGTTGGACCGTGGCAAACACCTGTAGCGGATGTTGCTGTTACTACATCATCTTATGGTACTGGAATTATTACAGGAGAAGCAATGGCAATGGGTGAACGTACTCCAATCGCTTTGATTTCACAAGGAGCATCAGCACGTATGGCTGTAGCTGAAGCGATCACAAATCTTGCAGCTGCATGTATTGAATCTATATCTCATATACGCCTTAGCGCTAATTGGATGTGCGCAGCGAATTATGACGGCGAAGGTTCAGGATTATATGAAGCTGTACAAGCAATTGGTTTAGAACTTTGTCCAGCTTTAGGAATTAGCATTCCAGTTGGAAAAGATTCAATGTCAATGAAAATGAGATGGGAGGATGAAAAAGGTCACCAGAAGGAGGTCACTGCTCCACTGAGTTTAATTATTACGGGATTTGCTCCTGTGAATAATATTCATAAAACTTTAACGCCCCAATTGAGAACCGATCTGCAAGAAAATACAATCCTTGTATTCTTGGATTTTGCGAGTGGTAAACAAAGAATGGGCGGATCAGCCATCGCACAAGTTTACAAGCAAATTGGTAATGAAGTTCCAGATGTGGAAAGTCCAGATTTGATCAAATCCTTCTTTGAAACCATCCAGAGTATTCGTCAGGATGATAATGAAATTGTCTTGTCATATCATGATAGATCTGATGGTGGGTTATTTACCACTATCATTGAAATGGCATTCGCGGGTCATGTTGGAATAAGTATAAATATTTCAAGTATTCTACAAAATGATGATGTAATTAGGACTTTATTTAACGAAGAGCTTGGCGCAGTTATTCAAATTAGACAAAGGGACCTTGAAACGATTATCAAGGCATTCGTTGATTCAGGTTTCCCAAAAGAAAATATTTATTATATTGGTGACGTGTCTTTGGATAAAAGTCAAGACATCTTGATTAGAAAAGATGACCAAATTTTGTTTAAATCTTCACGTGTCGAATTACAACGTATTTGGTCCGAGACATCTTATCAAATGCAATCATTGAGGGATAATAGTATATGTGCAAAAGAAGAATTTGACAATATACTGGACGTGAATGGTCCGGGTGTTCATTTTGATTTAACGTTCGATCCGTCTCAAGACGTCACTTTACCTTTTATCAAGTGTCCTGAAGAAGCGAGACCAAAAGTAGCAATTCTTCGTGATCAAGGGGTAAATGGACAATTAGAGATGGCATATGCATTCCATTTATCAGGTTTTAAAGCAGTAGATGTACACATGTCAGATATATTATCAGGTAAAGTCACTCTTAAGAAATTTAAAGGGATTGCAGCGTGCGGTGGATTTTCGTATGGTGATGTACTTGGAGCAGGATCAGGATGGGCGAAGTCAATATTATTACATTCTAATGCAAGAAAAGAATTTGAAGATTTCTTTAAAAATCGACAAGATACTTTTGCATTAGGAGTTTGTAACGGGTGCCAATTTATGAGTCAATTAAAGGAATTAATACCTGGAACGGAAAATTGGCCAATATTTCAAAAGAACAAAAGTGAACAATTTGAATCTAGATTTAGTCTTGTGAACATTACCAAATATGAAGAATATCCTTCAACGTTTACACCTTCAATATTTTTAAAAGAGATGATCGATTCCAAAATTCCGGTAGCGGTTGCACATGCCGAAGGCAGTGTCGAATTTTCTAGCATGGAACAAATGAGAATGTTAATTCAACAGAGATTAGTTGCAATTCAATATGTAGATAATTATGATAAGATTACGCAGAAATATCCATTTAATCCAAATGGAAGTACATTGGGGATAACGGGTTTACAAACTCCAAATGGTAGGGTGTTAATTATGATGCCTCATCCTGAAAGAGTTATTATGAAGGAAGCTAATTCTTGGTATCCCGTTGAAGAAGGAAAAAAATGGGGTGAAGTTGGGCCTTGGTTAAGAATGTTTAGAAACGCTAGAGTTTGGGTTGGTTAAATCAATAAAAAAAAATTTTTTTATTATATGGATTTTACTCTGATATACATAGTTATTAAATGCTACCTTTACCCTATTGGTTAAATGTTCGCTCGCTAATGGTATGTTTCCTCACAAAATTTCCTATGTATTTATTATAATCGAATTATTATAATTTGATTAGCCGCTGCATTTTTTGTAAACTTACCTTCCTCATTTACTTTGCTTAATTAGTATGGAGCCGAAGACTTGAGCTTCTCTTAAAGATTTGATCTTTTTTTTTTTTTAAAATAAAAACACAATAAAATTTATAAAAAAAAAAAATCTTTTAATGATGAAATGTCACGTAGACATTGGTATTATAAATAGATAATAAACAGAAATCTTTTATCCAATGTTCCCAAACGCAAAAAAAAAGTGAATCTTCATTTCAGTGACTGGCATTAAAAGTAAACCACAAATTTTGACTTTGCTTGAGAAGGTATTTTACGGCTTAATATATGTCTACTACCTTCTTGTGTAATACAATTAGAACACGTTAATGCTCTAAATCATAAAAAAATTTTAATAATGACTCTTTTCGGTCTTGTTTTACGGCCGTACTGCGCCAAATAAATCAAAAGTATGGAAATTCATATTAATTATGAACATGTTAATAAGCTGGTTTATTGTGGTAATAAAAAGTATTCAAGAACCAAATGAATGATATATTGCTTTAAATAGCTGTTCAGTCTCGTAAATAATAATTACTGTTTGCTTGTTTATACCGAAACCGTAGCGACAATATTATCAGCTCTAGCTTCTGTTGCTGCGAAAATAGCACCGTTGAATAATTGATAAATTTGAATTAAAATTATTTACTTCTTGGCAACCAAAAAGACTTTCTCACCTATAAAAAATGTAAATAAGTTAGCAATTGAGTTTCGTATAAACTTATTTTATTATAAAAATTTATTAAACTCATTTTTATCAGATGAACTTTGGGTCATCACAAATTTTTCTCGCATAAGGATGGTTCGCAATAAGCCTCTGTTGACCTCGCTGATTTTGTCAATCAAGTTAAATGCCTTTTGTCATATCACATTAAACTCAAAATATTATTACCATAAATAGTTGTATTTTTAAGATTTTATTATAGTTATCTAAACTTGAAAATTATAACTTTTGATTCAACGTGAAAATTATTCATCGTCAACCATTTATATATGTATTAACATTATTAACATTTTCTAACGATCACTATACGATCAAGGAAATCAACACTTAACGCGATTTGGATCAAAAATTTTACAATTGAGAATGTCCTTCAAATGATTGCTGGATTAACCAAGTCCTTGATAGATTGAACTTTGCTACAGCGGTAAAATTTTATCTACAATTCAAAACTCATCGTTATCCGCTTTGAAAAATTACCATATTTTGAAGATTAATTTTTTTATTTGAATGTATGTTGCTAACACAATCATTTAATTCTAAATTCGTGATCATGCGTTATATTCCGAGTTAACAATTTTATAAACGGTTAGACTTTCATTTCAGTTTAATTTAAAAAGAGAATAAAAAGTTCCAAAATTGGCTTAATGACCGATGTTATGTTATTGATCGTCTTTTCATTAATCTTATTTATTTAACGGTTTTTTCTTTAAAAAAAAAAAAAACGCGAAAAAAAAAAATTTCTTATTTGTGAAAAAATAACGACTAACAAAATGGCCGAGATTATTCTCGATCAAGGAATTGGTTGGGGAATCGGTAATCTTGATACTTTTTATCCAAAGTTAATAATCTTTTTTTTTCAATTAATTCATAATCTTTCTTTTTATTTATTATGTAGTTTTGGGATTTGGTGCATTCTTTGCTATTTTAATGACACTTTTAACGATGGCCCAAAAACGTTATCTCCAAGAATACCAAACATCCGAAATGTTTATGACGGCTCATCGTTCTGTAAAAACTGGTCTTGTGGCATCCGCTGTGGTTTCTTCTTGGACTTGGGCTGCTACGCTTTTACAATCCTCTTCTGTTGCATATAAATATGGCGTTTCTGGGTAAGTAATTAATTACCTTATTGAAGCTTTTTTCATGGGCTTTAATTTGTTGAAATCACTGGTTTCTTTTTTCATTTTAGACCTTTTTGGTATGCCGCTGGTGCTAGCATCCAGGTAATTATTACTATTCATTCCACGTGTTGAAGCTTTCTATATTAACAATATATTGAATATAGGTTTTGCTTTTCGCTATTCTTGCTATTGAACTTAAACGTAATGCTCCAAATGCACATACCTTCCTCGAAATAATCAATGTCCGTTACGGAAAAAGAACCCATCTTGTCTTTTTATTCTTCGGTTTGGCCACTAATGGTAAAGAAATCATTAAATAATAACATAAAATACTTCGTATCTAATTCATTTTGAAATCATGAAAAACCTTTAAAAAAACGCGCTTTAAGATTTTTTTTTTTTCCTCAATAAATAAATTCTCTGTAATTTATGTAATTTAGTGATTGTGACAGCTATGTTGTTACTCGGTGGCTCAGCTGTAGTAAATGCACTCACCGGTGTCAATATTATTGCATCTTGCTTTTTACTTCCATTTGGTGTATTAATTTATACATTATTTGGTGGTCTAAAAGCAACGTTTTTGACGGATTACGTACATACTAGTGTTATTTTTGTTATTATACTTTCCTTCTTATTCACTGTTTACGGTTCTTCGGATATGATCGGATCTCCACAAAAAATGTATGATTTGTTGGTTAAAGTCTCCGAAAAACCTTGCGATAAAGAGCAATTTAAAATTGATTATCCGAATATTGCGGAATATCCATCATATGGGATCTGTGCTGTAACTGATAATGAACAAGGATCATTTGTAACGATGGCATCTCTGCAAGGCTTAATCTTCGGTATCATCAATATTGTTGGTAATTTCGGAACCGTATTTGTGGATAATGCTTATTGGCAACGTGCTATCGCTTCTCGACCTTCTTCTACCGTAAAGGCTTATTTGATTGGAGGTTTATCATGGTTTTCAATTCCATTCACCTTGGCTACTACTATGGGCATCGCCGGTGTTGCTCTTGTCGGAGCGGGTAAATTAGACCCTCTTACGGATCAAGATGTTTCTGCTGGTTTAGTACTTCCATTAGCTGCTACTGCTCTTCTGGGTAAAGCTGGTGCTTTCGCGATTATGGTCTTAATTTTCATGGCTGTCACGTATGTATTATTAGCATTGAAGCTTAAAGGGTAAATTATAATATTTAACAAAATTTTTTCTTATATAGATCTGCTGCTTCAGCCGAACTTGTTGCCGTATCTTCAATTTACACTTATGATATTTATCGCGCATATATTCATTCTGGCGTAAGCATTTTTAAAGAGACAACCAGTTTATTTTTTCTTCTCGACAATTTCCACAAAATAATTTCTTATAATATAATGAATATGTTAGGCTCTTGGAAGACAAGTTATCCGTCAATCACACATATCCATTATTGCCTTTGGTATTATTATGAGCATCTTGGCTATTATACTTAATTTCATCGGAATAGATTTAGGATATATGTATTTGCTTATGGGAATTATTTCTTCCCCTGCCGTTATTCCTGTTACATACACCATTACCTGGTCAAAACAAAGCGCCACTGCTGCTGTTTCTGCTGCTTTAATGGGCGTTGTTTGTGGTATAACGGCATGGCTTGTCACAGCTCAATCTCTATATCATGAAATTACGATTAAATCGACCGGTGAAAATTATCCCATGTTGGCCGGAAATCTGTAAGTATCATTGATTTTATGCATGTATATATATATATATATATATATATTTTTCAGATACGCATTGCAAATTTTTTTTTTTACCTTATCATTCATTTATATAGCACCTCCTTAATCACATCAGGATTAATAACAACGGTTTTGTCATTGGTAAAGCCAGCTAACTTTGATTTCGAAATAACGAGAACGAAATTAGAAGTTTTAACGGATGATGAAGTAGTAACTAATACTCTTCATGATGATCCAATTGAAAGGGATCCCGTTAGGTTAAGGGCAGCTTTCAAATTTGCCGTTACTAGTTCAATTTTATTAACGATCGTATTGATTTTCATATGGCCGTTACCAATGTATTTCTCCAATTATGTTTTCACGAAACCATTCTTTACATTTTGGGTGGCAATTTCAATGATTTGGGCTATTTGTGCTGCTGTCTCTTGTACTATTTATCCCGTAAGTATAATTTTTTTTTTTGGATTTTTACCTGTAAGATCGCTATTAATGAGACAAACATCTTTAAAATTTTCAGGTTTTTGAATCTCGTAATAGTATCATTAGCGTATTTAATGGCATTTTGAAAGACCTTAGAGGAAAGGATATCATAAAGGATAAAAAAAGATTATCACAGGAAGTAGTACCAGAGAAAAATAACGCATAAAAAAACATATTCGTTGCAGTCGTTGTAACCATTTTTAATGTATTAATTTAATTTAATTAATTTTTTTTTTTAAAAAAAAAAAATATAAACACAACAACATATTTCTATAATAAATATTCATTCAATCATAACTTTCAAAAACTACAATTAAAATGTCAAAAAGAATAAGACCATAAATATTGCGTACTTTATTTCCACCATAAGATTTTTATCGTACATATATTTAAATTAAATAACCTTAAAATTCCGAAATTTTTAATATTTCGATATGAATGGTAAAAGTTCAATCGAAAATTTTTATTATAATAAAATTGGCTAATGATTGCTTGGAAATCTCAATGCATTGTGATAGTATTATATCCTTATTATTATTTTTAAAGATGTATAAAATTTTAGTAATGAATACACGTCATTTTAACGATTAAATGTTTTGATATTATTTCTTTGTTTTATAAATTATGAAAAATGAAGTTAGAAATGTTTCTATAATTTTCCTACTTTTTTTTTCAGATGTAAACGCTTCCCTCTTTTGATCATAATTCATCATCATTTAATAGAATCTAATCCTTTTTGAAATCCTTCCAACAACTTTTCCTTATTTTCTAATCCAACGCTAACTCTAACTAAACCAGCTTCAACACCAAATTTGGCGGCCCAATCTAATTCTAAATAATGAGCAAGTATGGTATAAGGACAAGCTAAAGTAAAATTTGTACCTAAAGAAGGACCTTTTGCTATAGGTAAAGCATCAAAAAATTGTTGTGAAGCTTTTGATGAGTAAAAGGTTAATGAAAATAATCCACCATAACCACCCTTTTCTATTTTATATTGTGAATATATTTCTGGTGTAATATATTTTGGGTAATATACTTTTTTAACTAAAAATTTTTAAGCAGTTAGATTTTTGTTGACGAAATTTGCAATTCACTAAATAAAATTTCTGTTTACCTTTTGGACTTTTGGAAAGGAAATCACATAATTCTTCAGTATTTTCATTGATCTTTAGGATACGATCACGAAAATTTCTAGAATTCCTTTCTAAGAATATAGCGTCTTCACCCCATACCAAATCTTCGTAATCTTGTTTTATTAATTGTTTCAATTTTCCATAATGTTTTCTTTGGGGGTTCAAAACCAACCCACCACCCATGACATTACTGTCGCCACTAAAAATTTTAGTTAAACTAGAAACTAAAACGTCAGCCCATTCCAATACCCCAACATTAACAAAGTTACCGATAGTTTCGTCTATTACAATTAAAAAATCATATTTATCAGCTAATAATCTTAATCTCTTCAAATCTGGTGATTTACATAATGGATTAGATGGAAATTCACAAAATAAGGCTAAAATTTTTTCTCCTGATTCTAATAAATCTGTTATATGATCAATATCTTCTGTTGAACCATTTCCGTAAAAATGACATCCCGGCCCAAATTTTTCCAAAATTTTCAAAGTATCAATATATGGAAAGCTAACGAAATTGATAAAGTGTCAAGTAAATAAATTATATATATATATATCAATTTTTTCGTTCCGGATTCAATACTCACCCAAAACAAATACTTTTACTTGGAAGAAAACCACTAAGAATATATCTATGAGCATGAAAAATTGAACTCATTCCAGAAGGAAATAAAAATACATCATCCTCAGTAACACCATTAACACCTCTTTCAGTAACACATGCATTCTCAACTTTTCTATTGATAACATCATCTAAATTATCATGGTCATCATTTTTGTTACTATACTGATCTTCAATGCCAAGAACACCAGCGATCCTTCTTCTAAGTGCAATTTTAGCTTTATCAGCAAATGAAATGGGAAGATTACGCCCATATCTTTCTTCCACATAATAATTTTCTTCTACAGTAGCTGATTTATCAGTAGATATTAAACCAGTTGGCGATGTTGGTGATCTAGGTCCAGTTACATCATTAGAAAAAGAATCTCTACTAATGTTTGATATTTGTGTATTTAAAGAATAACGCTTATGAAAAGTATGTTTTCTTGAAGAGGCTGAAACGGGAGTAGATTTTTCATTATAATTGTCAGTAATAGAATATTGTTCATCATGTTTAGCTTGCATAATATGTAAACAATATTCGGCACATCTTGAACTTAAACCTTCTCCTGTATGTTGCCAATATGATTTTGCTATAGGAAATGCATCTTTAGGAAATAAGACCACATAAAGTGTTACACTCCCATGAAATGATGATTTTATTTTATCAGGTGGAATAACTGTAATCTCAGCTAACCGGACACATGGTGTTGGAGTATGTAACGAAGATGAGGTCAATGGTGGTGTTGTTGGTTTATAATATCGATGAATAAAATCTCGACATCTTTGTGTTGGTTTACGACTTGGGAACAATAAAGATGTTTCTGTTGATTTTGCAAATTTCTGATCGCATACTGTTATCAACTTTAATAAATTCAAAATGATATTAAGTTATATTAAAAAATATATGTAATTGAAAAAAAGTAGAAATGTAATTTACCTTTTTTATTTGCGGATGAATAAAAAACCTTGGATAACCACATTCCATACGACTAACTACCCTATCTACTGCTTCTTCATAATCAATATTATCTTGCCACGTTGGTAATGTAACTGATATTGCATGTGGAGTATTTGCTGGTATTGGACATCCAATTTCTGTTGGCGGTGACGAATTCGAAGGCATTATGTAATTGTAACAAAAAAAAAAAAAGAAATCGTCAAAAATTTTTTTTTTTAAAAAAAAAAAATTTATTTGATTAGATGTCGCATCAAAATTTATAGATATTTTTTTAAAGCATTCGTCACGTGATGTTTAATTGGATCTATATAAGATTATAACCAAAATAGTATATAATTTATTACTTTTGAAACAGAATAAACAGAATAAATTTCTAAAGAGCTTAATAATTAATTATGTAAAAAGAATTTTAAAATAAATTTATTAATAAATATACAAAAATTAAAATTTTTAATCAAATTAACAAACTAATATAAATAAGTTATAAAGAATTATGATTAGTTTTTTTTTGTATTTGATTTAATTTAATTTTTTAATTAAATAATATAAATAAAATAATATAAAAATAATATAAAATTATCTAATATTAAGATTGCTAGATAATAAAGCCTTACAGGTTTATATAATGTAAAAATAAAAATATAATGATATATCATGCTTTAATATAATATATTAGAAAATAAAATTATTATTAAGTTTAAAATAATCTTAATTAAAAAATTCACACTAATACT